GTTCATTTGTTTGACCAATTGCTATGAAACTCGGCAGTTATGTTCAAATACTTCTATCTTAGATAATGTTGTTCATCCCACTCTAAATTATCAATTGAATTTCTGTCTCTATTTGATTGCTGCCTTAAAAAAAATTTAACAAAATAATTAACTAAATATAATTCTTCCAAAAAAGGATATAATTTTAATAAATATATACAGTCAATTCCACTTAATTTGGATATACATTGGGACTAATGCATTTTGCTCAATTAAGCGACTGTCCTAATTAAACAAACTAATAATAAATTCTAATAAATAAATTCAAAAAATAAAATATGTTATATGTAGGTTAATAAATATGTAGGTAAAAATAATAATTAGTTACCTATTTTAATGCTTTATTAAACCAAAATAGGGTTTAGAGTTAGAGTTAGGGTTAATATTTGTTAGATTTATAATATTTAATAGAGTTAGGGTTAATAGGGAAAATATTTGTACTATAATTTGCCAGACTCATGATGATAGATAACTGATTTGCATCACGCTAGTGTTGCCCAAATATAGTATTAGTAGTGACATACTCAAAGGTTGACCATTTAATTTTAGCTGATAGAATGATTTTTCCTTTCTCCCTTTTTAGTTAAAATATGTTTTAACTAAAAAGGGAAAAAGGAAAGGGTTTGTCCAATAGTCACATTATAGTCTTCCTTTGAGTACAGTTTCCTTTACTTGGAGATGGGCCACTTCAGTGAAAGCATTCCGTATAATCTGCCAGCTCCAGATGATGGTCTCAACAATTGGATGGCTGCTGTCCAAATCTAGACATAATTATGAACACAATACCTTCTAAGGAAACTCTGTCTTCCAACTCAGTCGAGAGACCTCGAAAAATTGTCTGGGGATCTTTGTTCCTTTGTTTTTAAGATCGTCCAGTCTAATCCAGATCAGGGTCAGTAGCTCATATTCAGGTCTGCCTCAGACAGGACCCTGGTGTGATACATTCCACTATGCTGACCCCCTCCAGAAAAACCAAACTGCCCGAGTAAAAGACAAAATCACTTTGTCTCTGCCAATCGTTAGGCTTATACAACATTAGTGTTTATACTGTCTATATATTTTCAGAAGATCCCTAAAATATATCAAAAATTGCTAAATTCCTTTTCTGCTACTGTCCCAGTTAATTGAAAAGTTGTCTCAATTAAGCAATTAAATTATATATTAATTTATTAGTTTTGTTTCCATTCTTTGAGATTTGGCCCAATCAAGTGGCTATCCTGATTAACCAGTAGACCAATTAAATGGAAACAACTGTATTATATTCACTGAATTACTGCAACAATGATATAGTGCAAGATAGATATGCCATTACTACAACAAGTAGCATATAGTATATTTTAATCGACTTACTATTGAAAATTAAACAGTTTCAAAAAATTTATTAAAAATGACCAAACTCAAATTCATATAAAAATTTAAAGCATTGACAAACAACTATTGTTTTAATGAAATAACTTTGCCTGTAATACTAAATGTTATTGATAGAGCATTCATGTATTTCAAGGCATAAAATAACCTGTAGCANGCAGATTTTCCGAAAATGTTTCGGATCTTTACAGTATAACAATTTAGAGTAAATTTGATAATTCAGGATCTGTTTTTAATTAACGCCGACAAAATTCGTTACACATAATTATTTCACCAATTTTTTCAAACATAATTACTGTTATGCAATGTTTTTTTCGAAAAAAATCAATCATTATTTCAATTAAGAAAAAATAAGATTGTATAATAGTTATGATGAATAAAACTTTGTTTTCTATAAATGTCTTTCTTTTATTTTTCAATCTTCTGTATATAAACTGACATATTTCAAATTAAAAATGTCTATATATATTTTAATTTGCTGATTTTTGCTTACAAATATGTAAAAATTGATGAAAGAGAACTCTTTGATACAATTTTTATACCAAATATATTTTTGGGAGGAGTTCAAATTTTATTTGTAATTGTTCTTACTGAGATTTAAATATATACAGTATGTACTTTAAGAAAAGTGTTAATGCATGTAAGTGTTAAGAAAAGTGTTCAGCAGTATTTTATAACTGTAAAATAAATTTTAAGAAAATAATTCAAACAAAATATAAATATTTATATCTTTTATTATCAAAACTTCATCAGGTCTGAAGTACAATTAATGAGCACATTCAGAAATGGCATTTAAATATTTCAGTGTATCAAATAGAAAGGATAAACCCACTGAAAAATAAACAAGAAAAGTATAATAACTGAAAATAAAATGTTTAACTTAAAAGGTAGCGACTGTTTTACAGATCTCAGTGAAAAGCTTCCAATTATTTCACTAGAACTAAGTATATTTGATGATGATCTATTTTCCTATCCATCTCCTATCCTATCTATCCTCTTATTTGATGATAATCTATTATCTATTAAAATTTTTCCTAATGACTTTGATTCAAAATGAAGTTTATTACTGAAAAATATGCTGTTTAGTTACTTTGTGATATGCTTGTGTGAATTACTTGTAAAGTCCTATTAAACTCTACAAATTCCCAGAAACACTAAAATATTAAATAAATGTTGAAAAAATGCAAATTACAATAGATGGGACTAGAAAAAATTTGTTATTCTGAGTCATGGATCCACTAAAAGGAGATAAAATTACATTGGTTTGACAGTCAAGTTGTACTTAATATATTGATTCTACTAATGAAATTTTTTTTCACAAATTTATAGCAAATTAAGAATCTTTATTTTTAACTATTAATTAATGCACAAATGAACAGATTTTATTGCTCATCTTACTATGAAGTATCGTCTAAAAAAGATGAAATTTAGGAGTTGAGATAGAAGACTTATCAAGAAAACTTTATTTTTACTTTTATTATGAATGTGTTTGAATTTATAATATTAATGTTTTATGTTCTGGTTTATTTCTGAATTTTTTATAATGAAATAATATTAGGTAAACTTTCTAATATGCAATTTTATTACAATGTTATTAAAATAATATATACTAAAACAGAGTGTAGGAAGGAAAAACTCTCAAAAACATTTTGCTTATTCTCTATATAATACCTATTTATCCAAAAAAAATTGTTTTTCAATTCAGTCATTATCTTGAATGAAATAAATGTCTAGAAACTCTAAACCTCTCATTACTGCTTACCCATATGAATGTCATTAGCAAACAGAAATATGCTCCTATAATGAAAATATGGAAAAACATTAAACTTCTCATTGCAATATCTGCCATAAGAATTATTAGAGGTAAACTATAAGCCAGTTCTTTGTAAATAAAACCTGTCATAAAGTTAAAAATAACTGTAGTTTATAAGTAATAATTAACAACCATTGTTAGTAGAATATATACAGTAGAATTTAGTTTTAATGGATTGCTTGGGCCATCTAGAATCATCTGTTATCTTGCAAACAACAGATTTTCCACCCACTTAAGAAAATATCTGTTATTTAACCCTCTATTTTGAAGAAATGCCTGTACTTTGAAATTGTTCAGTCTTTTGAGATTTCTATTCCATAGAAATATGTATGTTACCAGGTCATATATTATGCCATTCATGTGTATGACAAGGCTGACAGAAACTGTATATACTGTAAGCACAAAAAGAGGCAAATTAAAAACAAATCAAAGTTAAGGGAAGTACTCATTAGCACTTCCTTTGACTTTAATTTATTAAAAAACTCATCCATCTTGATTTGTTTTGATACTGCTTTTCTGCCTATTGAATACAACAACCACTTGATATTAACAATATCATGTACAGTACAGCTTATTTGTTTACGCTGAAACTTATCAGGAAGGTCTTCAAAACTTGGAAAGACTCCATGGTATTGCTAAATTTTGGAACTACATTTGGGCCAGCATCAGTATGTTTACCAGGTGGCTCCTCTTTATATATATAAGCCTACTGACTACTTGTACAATTCTTCAGTTTTACACATTCTAAATGTAAGAAGTGCATCATCAAACTCTACAAATTCCCAGAAACACTCAAATATTAAATAAATATTGAAAAAATGCAAAGTTTACAATAGATGAGGCTAGAAAAAAATTGGTTATTCTGAGTTATGGATCTGCTAAAAGGAGATAATATTATATCGGTTTGACAGGACCTGGGAAAAATCCATTGTTCTGCAATCTGTCAAAATGAGATTATACTGTATCGTGATTTTCAAAATGGGATAAGAAAGAGAGGAAGAGAATTTTTTTTATTTAAAAACATGTATAAGTTCTTTGTTTTATAATGATTTTGTATTTAGTTAGTTATCTTAACTTTTTTGTTTAATTATGTTATGCTGTATTCTAATTATGAACAAAATCTTATGAAAAATTGCTTTCAAAATGATATTATTATGATTATTTTCTTTTAGTTGTTTTTGTATCTGATGAAGTAAATAATAAATAATATAAGTAGTCTATATTATTTTTGACTTTCTTTTAATGAATTTATTTTGCAAATATAAACCAATGATGAACTTTCATTAATATTTTTGTTGTTAATGTCAGCACAAGGAACTTAATAATATGATTTAATAAATATCAGTAAATTTTTTAAAAATGCCAGTTTTTTCTACTGGAATGTACAACCATTATTTAAAGTTATAAATTAAAATTTTTGAAGCAGAATTTTTCAAATACAAATATAAACATACAGTAATCCGAATTTTTCAAATATCAATAGTTGGCCGATATTTACAGTGTGTTTCATTAAGTTATTTATTATCTGTAATCGTTAATATCCCACAAAAATGTATGTATTTAAAGGCAAGAACATATAGTTTATATTTAAAGACATTTAATATTTTAGTTTCGTAAAACAGCAACTCCCAATAAATGTCACTTTTTTTTATATATATCCTGATTCAGTAAGTTTTCTTTCTTCTTTTGACATAATAGTTTTTAATTTATATGTATAAGTATTTTTTACTATAAAGGTATGTCAAAGAAGAGTTTGGCAAAGTATTATTACTCTCTCTAGTGTGATTGGAAGACAAAAGAAGTTTCAGTGATTGTGGATGTTGTGGAGAGTCCAAAAGGTAATTTCCATTCAATTACTTTATTTTGATGAGTTTAATATGAAGTAAAAATTTCAGTTATTGAATCACAAATATTAATACATATATAAATAAACTGTCCTGAGGCTAATAGTTCTGGTAATTTGAATTTCATAATAACAATTGTAGAATCCAAATTACCATATGGGATTTTTTAAATTTTAATTGTTTTGTTTATAATTATGTCAAAATTAGATATTAGCATTGACATATTCCTATAAAAACCTTTTTCGAGGCCGTTTTTGATTTTTGAAATTAAACTCAAAATCATATTGATATTCCTTATAATATAAATCAATTATAATAACTTTTGATTTTCTGACACTAAGCAATTTTTCTTATTTTATATATATTACAGTTTTTTCTTGTTTGATTTTTAATTAAAAAATAATTACAGTAAAACCTTGATCTATTGTTTTGGTAGGACTTGGGGGAAAAACAACTGATGCAGGAAAATGATTGACGTGGAAAATTTATGATGTGATTTTTTTATTGCTTATCTTGTATGAAATGTGTATTTTCCAGGGATATGCCTATATGATAGCTTTCTGCAATTCTAAATGATATGAACATGCATTTATTCTACATTTTAAAAAATTGTTAAGAATACTGTAATTTGTTTTATTTTCTCTTGTTAAGAATATCTAATGTATTGATATATTGGAGACAGCCGATCAGAAAAATTTGATATTGTGTAAAAATGCATTATTTATATAATAAACAACAATTTATATAATTTCCATTACTAATAAATCTGAAGATCTCTATGTCAGTATAGAAGATTATGTAGAAAAGTGCATTTCTTATTTTTTGGATAACCAGTTCAAAATGTATTTTTATATGTCACAATCTTTATTTTAAGTATGTAATGTGCATATAATTTATGCTGCCAGCTATTTTGACTTCTGTTTTCAGCTCTTGGAACCTCGCTGCACTAGTTCTGAAGAGGATAAGTTAATGCGGAAAAATAGCTTAACTGTCTTTCAACAAAGTGGCTTTAAGTAGTTTTATCAGAAAATGTGCCCAATATATACAATAAAATAAACTACATTTTATTGCTACATAAATAATTGCAAGAATTTCCAAAAAAGACAATAATCTGTCTGTCTTTAGGCATGATTACAATATTATAGTACAGAAAGACCTCACTTAATGCTCTCTCATTTAACCCTGATTTGATACAATGCAATCTGCTCAAAGCTTAAAAAAAAGATCAAAATTTACTCCAATTCAAATTATTTGCAGCTTTTCATTGATTCATATGTAATACGATTATTTACGAACACGAACCAATCAGAAAAAGGTGGCAATTTGTCATAGTGCTGTACTTCCCTTAAATCTATGTTTGTTTTGTGCAATTTTGGAAAAAATATAGCATCTTGGATGCCATAGGCAATATCAACTTCACCTGGCAAGAACTAACTGATAAATGCATGAACGAAGTGTGAAAGAAGTTATGGCTGAAAGTATCCAAGAATTCTCAATGAGAATAGCCTATTGCTGTATTGTTAGGTTGACTAAATTGTCAACCTAATCAATACAGCAAGACAAACAGGATATTGAGGAGTTACTGCAGTTTTCTGGTGAGAGCCTTATCAATGACAACCTTCAAGAACTGGCATGACAAGGAATTCAGGTAGAATTGGAAAATAGTGATTTTGAAAATGAAGAACCCAGAGAATTTCTCTACAAATTTCCTTAGTAAAAGTTTGGTAATGATAACTGAAATTGTTGATCAAATTATAGCGAATGATCCAGATTTTGAAATGAGTGCAAAAGCAAAATGAGGCATTTTAGATACAATCTCTTGCTACTGACATTTGCTTAAGAAAAGAAAACAAGTGACAAATGAATGTACATGACTTTATCGCAAAAAATAAGAATTTTAGAAAAGCCAGGACCTTCATCACAAAAAATGAACTTTACATTACTGTGTGCATATGTTTGTGTGTTATTTAACATATATTATTATGCAAATTAATATAAAAGCAAGTTAAAATTAAAGTAAAATCTGTTTATTTTTGGTTGCATATTTTCCTTTCCCTATTTACTCTATGTTAAAATGATCTCGTTTAACACTGTTTCATTTAGTGCTTTGTCATCTAGGAATGCATCCCCTGCATTAAGTGGGGTCTTACTGTACATTACTGTATTTTATTACCCTATCAAATAAACAGTATATTAAGAGAAGCTACTATACTAAGTAATACTAAGAGGAGCAGGGAACCTATTCTGAGCTCTTTTGATGACTCAACAAGAGCTATACACAGGACATTCGATAAGTCTCCTTAGACAAATTTATATTCTCTGCTCCATTTTCACTGGGTTTTGTTACAAGTAATCAGTTGAGATGCATCTGGGTTCCGTGCTATCAATAGCTGTTATGCTTTAACCAGTCACAATTTAGTTAACATTGTCTTATAAAACACTCACCAAATAAACCATTACTAGTTCATAACCAAAGAGAAAAATTTTTTCTACGAACGTTTTCATCTATATGTAATAGACATCCTCAGGTATTGACGATATCGAACTAACAGCTAGTAGAATAGAATGTTTTTTGAAAGCTCATTTATTGAAAGCTCGGTACATTTTTTGGATATTATCATCAAAATGGAGCAAGGTCATCTTTCCACCTGTGTGTTCCGTAAGGAGTCATATACACCTCTATTTATACATAACTGCTCACATGACCCTTACTCTTACAAAGTCTCTGCTTTTCGAGCTTTGGTAAAAAGGGCACACACACATTGTTTGGAGCAAAATGAAAAAGAAAACGAATTGTCGAGGATCAAGGCCCTTGCAATGCAACATGGATACCCATCCTCTTTGGTCAAGCATCTCGTAAACCAATACATAAATAGGAGGGAAAGGAATATGCCATAAGACGAACAGATGAGGGTTATCACATACAACAAAACATTTTCTAATATATATAGAGAGATTGCAAGGACTACTAAAATACACCTAGCATATCGACGCTATCCTACAGTCTTCTGTCTTATCAGAAATGACAAAAATTGTATAGAAGATTCTAACTCTCCAGGGGTTTATGTGGTTCCTCTTCAAGATCACCGGTTAACCATGCTTTAACAAACATTGGAGCAACCACAAGAGGTCTCACCATGAGGATGAAAGAACATGAATATTTGATAAGAAAAAAGCTGACTACAACGGCACTAGCGACATATTCAAATAATGATGATGTTCATGTTGATCTACAAAACGCTAAATTGCTACACAAAGTATCGAATAAGGCACAACTCAAGTACCTCGAATCTCTGGAGATATATAAGGCAATTTAAAAAGGGGTCGGTATTAATTTCAAAGAAACCGATACGCTTTCTGCAGCATGGCACACCATATTTGAATTAAAAGGGTATGATTTGAAGAAGGGTCAATGATTGAAATACGCATCAAAGATATTTTAAATTACGGAGGATATTTACATCATGATCTATGTGAAATCAATTATTTATTCAGATATGTTTTAAATATTTACTTATTTTCAATTTTAACGCAATGTATTTGAATTACGTAGTTAAACAGAATTTTCAAAAACATTCTATTCTACTAGCCGTTAGTTCGATATCGTCAATACCTGAGGATGTCTATTACATATAGATGAAAACGTTCGTAGAAAGAATTTTTCTGTTTGGTTATGAACTGGTAATGGTTTATTTGGTGAGTATTATATAATTAAGTATCCAGTTTTTTGAAATACAGTAACATTGTCTTATTGTTGTGTGATACAACCCATTGTTTTCGAAGCAAAGCACATGTCTTTAATATTGTCGTGTACCAATGCTAGCCAAATATTTTTGTTAAAATGTCATCAAAGAAAGGACAATGCAGTCAGCAAACTATAACTTGTCAGTTTTAGATATTAGTTAAAACACTTCGGTTCTAGCCAGGATCGTACTTATGCATTTTGAGGCCCTTGAAATTCTGTGTGAGATTTCTTACCAACACTTCACAATTTTAGAAATCAATCTTATAAAAAAGAAAATTAACATAAATATATTAATTTTAATAATAAATGTTTCATTGTTAAAAAGTATTTGCAATATATTATAAAATAATATACAATTTAAAAAGGGAAACATCTAAAATGTTGTTTTCATCATTTTTTGATGGCAAAAAAATTACTAAAAGCTAAAAAAGCTACCTATAAAAATCAAATGAATTTTATATTAAAAAGAAGAAATCACTAGAAATGTGATATAAATAATATTGGTTATTAATATAATTAAATACTACACAAAATAAAAAGTAAAGTATATTTTATTGGTTTGCAAAAAAAAATTATTACAAAATTTGACTTCAATTTTCTTTTTTGTAGAAATTTTTGAGCTCTCTTCAAACTTGAGATCCTAAACTACAGCTTATATAGCTTACTTGTAAATCTGGCTCTAACCTTGGCTTTTCTGGTAATTCATTGCATAAATGTAATAGTAATGGATTCAGAAGACGACAAAGTTCTTTAAAGCATATATCATTCAGCCAAAAGTATTATTTCAAAGACAATAAACAGAAATTCATGACGTCTAATGCTAATATTTTCTACTTCCAGTTGCTTGTGAAGTAGTCATCCTTACATCTAAAGTAACTATTTTTACTTTAGTTACATTCCTAACAGCACTTCAAAAATGATTGATAAGAAATAGATGTAGGTGAAAATGATAGATTGAGGTTTCACTGTATTTTGTAATCTTCAATTTCTCCAGTTTGTTTTAAGAATTAATTAGAATTTGTTACTTGAGACAATAATTAAAATAAAAATATATATTATTATTCTTTTCAGAACTTTTATTTAAAACATTGAATAATGGATAAAAATAATTTTAAAATTTATTAATATTTTAACAATTAACAATGTTGCCGAGAAAATATTTGCTATTTAAATAAATTTTAGAAAAAAAAGATGAATTTTTGTGATTTATAATAATTGTTAAAAAACAAATTTGAAACTTTTGTAAATATATTTGATTCTAATTTGGTTTATTTTTTCTAAATATATGCATAATACCATACTTTTTATATAAGGTTCTAATTAAATGAAAATTAAAATATTAATATGAAAAATTCAACTAAATTTGTTTTTCATTTAATTATTGCTGACTCTGTTTTGTATTAATCATTTTATAATATATTATTTCGTATAGTTTCAATTTTAAAAATTTTTTGAATATTTTGAAACAGAAAAAGAGTTTCCAGGAATATATGTCTTTGATTTCCCTTCAAAATGTTGGTTTAAAAATAATGTGATTTTTCATACACAATGGAGATCTAAACAGGTAAATATATATGTTATTTTTAATAGATATTAATTAATACTTGAAATTATTACTAAATGAAAATTTGTAATTATGATGTTAAAATTATTTTGTAGCATATTAACTAACTATAATCAAAAGTGCAAAATAATCTTTTTACTATAGAATTAATACATAGAAATTGTATTAAATATAATATTTAAAATGTTTTTTGTTGCTGGATGTTCTAGTTTTTAGATGCATTTGTTCTTTTATATATCCAGTTTTACAAGTTGTGTATTATTTGATTTATATTATTTTAAATTACAGAATATTTTGATTTACTATTGATTATTCTTCATTAAATTTGAGAAATATTATTTATAGTTATCTAATAAACATATAAAAATTTAATATTTTTTACATAAAAAAAAATTATGAAATGCAACAGAAATATAGTTAGTGTTGTAAAGTAGTATAAAACATTTGTCTTGGACCACCAAAGCTCCTACTAGTAATATAATAATAATAATAATAATTCTCACAATGAATATCTACTAGATACTGGTTAATTTCACAAGATAACTAATTTGATAACCCAAAAATCAGCTATAAGAATGCTCACTTTAAAATAGCAAATATTTTCTTCCATCATCAGGCTAATGTTTGAAAATAGAACTGCATGTTTTGGAACAAACAGGTTCAGATATGTAGCCTCTTGCTAATTGATGGAGATAGTTCCAGCAGAAAACTCTCAAAAACATTGGATTAAACAAATGGAAGCATATTTTCCATGCAATTGAGAATGTCCTTGAAATTGCACTGAATGGACTTAAGTAGGGGCCTCAATTTCACCACCTTATTATCTTATGCTTTAGATCCCAATATTCTAGTTTGTTTTGATTGCCAAGATTCTTCACAAATATGACATTGACAACAAAAGGCACACCACCACCCTATCACATATGGCACCGACTCAGAAGTGCATGTGGACCTTCCTAGCACCAGGCTAATAAAACGGACCTTTCATACTGACAATATTAGGGCCCTGAAGGCCCTAGAAATATACGAGGCCGACCTGACAGGCAAGTGCATCAATTTTAAGGACAGTTGTAAAGTACTATATTATTTTTCCGACTTTTCCAACGATTATCGACACTACTGCGTGCCGGAAATAGCCGTTTCCTAATGGGTACTTTACGCAGATTCGCGTTAGNTAGATATAATAAGGTACAATTTAAAGAAGTTAATGCTAAAAATTTCATTTTCGTCAATTTTTGATGGCAACAAAAGCTACTAAAAGCTAATAAAAGCTACCTATAAAAATCAAATGAATTTTATATTAAAAAGAAGAAATCACTAGAAATGTAATATAAACAATATTGGTTATTAATATAATTAAATACTACACAAAATAAAAAGTAAAGTATATTTTATTGGTTTGTAAAAAAAATTACAAAATTTGACTTCAATTTTCTTTTTTGTAGAAATGTTTGTGGCTCCTTGAAAGTCGAGGCCCTAAGCAACAGCTTACATAGCTTACTTGTAAATCTGGCCCTGGCTCTAGCTTTTCTCATAATTCATTGCATAAATGTAATAGTAATGGTTTTGAAAGATGATAAAGTTCTTTAAAGCATGTATCATTCAGCCGAAAAGCATTATATAAAAGACAAAAAAAGCAAGATTCACAACANTATAAATAATATTGGTTATTAATATAATTAAATACTACACAAAATAAAAAGTAAAGTATATTTTATTGGTTTGCAAAAAAAAATTATTACAAAATTTGACTTCAATTTTCTTTTTTGTAGAAATTTTTGAGCTCTCTTCAAACTTGAGATCCTAAACTACAGCTTATATAGCTTACTTGTAAATCTGGCTCTAACCTTGGCTTTTCTGGTAATTCATTGCATAAATGTAATAGTAATGGATTCAGAAGACGACAAAGTTCTTTAAAGCATATATCATTCAGCCAAAAGTATTATTTCAAAGACAATAAACAGAAATTCATGACGTCTAATGCTAATATTTTCTACTTCCAGTTGCTTGTGAAGTAGTCATCCTTACATCTAAAGTAACTATTTTTACTTTAGTTACATTCCTAACAGCACTTCAAAAATGATTGATAAGAAATAGATGTAGGTGAAAATGATAGATTGAGGTTTCACTGTATTTTGTAATCTTCAATTTCTCCAGTTTGTTTTAAGAATTAATTAGAATTTGTTACTTGAGACAATAATTAAAATAAAAATATATATTATTATTCTTTTCAGAACTTTTATTTAAAACATTGAATAATGGATAAAAATAATTTTAAAATTTATTAATATTTTAACAATTAACAATGTTGCCGAGAAAATATTTGCTATTTAAATAAATTTTAGAAAAAAAAGATGAATTTTTGTGATTTATAATAATTGTTAAAAAGCAAATTTGAAACTTTTGTAAATATATTTGATTCTAATTTGGTTTATTTTTTCTAAATATATGCATAATACCATACTTTTTATATAAGGTTCTAATTAAATGAAAATTAAAATATTAATATGAAAAATTCAACTAAATTTGTTTTTCATTTAATTATTGCTGACTCTGTTTTGTATTAATCATTTTATAATATATTATTTCGTATAGTTTCAATTTTAAAAATTTTTTGAATATTTTGAAACAGAAAAAGAGTTTCCAGGAATATATGTCTTTGATTTCCCTTCAAAATGTTGGTTTAAAAATAATGTGATTTTTCATACACAATGGAGATCTAAACAGGTAAATATATATGTTATTTTTAATAGATATTAATTAATACTTGAAATTATTACTAAATGAAAATTTGTAATTATGATGTTAAAATTATTTTGTAGCATATTAACTAACTATAATCAAAAGTGCAAAATAATCTTTTTACTATAGAATTAATACATAGAAATTGTATTAAATATAATATTTAAAATGTTTTTTGTTGCTGGATGTTCTAGTTTTTAGATGCATTTGTTCTTTTATATATCCAGTTTTACAAGTTGTGTATTATTTGATTTATATTATTTTAAATTACAGAATATTTTGATTTACTATTGATTATTCTTCATTAAATTTGAGAAATATTATTTATAGTTATCTAATAAACATATAAAAATTTAATATTTTTTACATAAAAAAAAATTATGAAATGCAACAGAAATATAGTTAGTGTTGTAAAGTAGTATAAAACATTTGTCTTGGACCACCAAAGCTCCTACTAGTAATATAATAATAATAATAATAATTCTCACAATGAATATCTACTAGATACTGGTTAATTTCACAAGATAACTAATTTGATAACCCAAAAATCAGCTATAAGAATGCTCACTTTAAAATAGCAAATATTTTCTTCCATCATCAGGCTAATGTTTGAAAATAGAACTGCATGTTTTGGAACAAACAGGTTCAGATATGTAGCCTCTTGCTAATTGATGGAGATAGTTCCAGCAGAAAACTCTCAAAAACATTGGATTAAACAAATGGAAGCATATTTTCCATGCAATTGAGAATGTCCTTGAAATTGCACTGAATGGACTTAAGTAGGGGCCTCAATTTCACCACCTTATTATCTTATGCTTTAGATCCCAATATTCTAGTTTGTTTTGATTGCCAAGATTCTTCACAAATATGACATTGACAACAAAAGGCACACCACCACCCTATCACATATGGCACCGACTCAGAAGTGCATGTGGACCTTCCTAGCACCAGGCTAATAAAACGGACCTTTCATACTGACAATATTAGGGCCCTGAAGGCCCTAGAAATATACGAGGCCGACCTGACAGGCAAGTGCATCAATTTTAAGGACAGTTGTAAAGTACTATATTATTTTTCCGACTTTTCCAACGATTATCGACACTACTGCGTGCCGGAAATAGCCGTTTCCTAATGGGTACTTTACGCAGATTCGCGTTAGTGTGCCAGGCCTGGACTTTAAGCGTGCACCGAATTAAATAAGGACAAAGTTTGTCAATAACAAAATCAAATATTTAATTAAACTTCTAGTAATAAACTATATACAGTATTTAGTAAAAATCAAACAATAATTTATTCAATGAAATTCAACAAGAATCAACCCGACAAAACTCAAATCAATCTATTTCTAACTTAATTCTATTCCCCTTTGGAATTCGACAAAAATCAAAGACTTAACTTATAAACAATATTTCTTATAAATTAAAGATCCTAATCGTCACCTCAATATACTAGGAACCTATTTCCTCAAACTCTCAAGACTCTATAATCATCGATCCATAAATCGAATAACTTCAAAATCGCCTTGGAACTATTTGATCCTATCGGACATCTCTCTCGTTCACTGCTCCGAAGCTCACCAAAGCTCGTTGCTATCAGGAATTTACCTCGTCATCTTCACTTGAGACTCGGGATTTATAGTGTGAGGTGACGTCACAATTCTGAATGAGATCACTCTCCTCATTTACATACTTAACGCTAACAATAAACTTTTTTAGTTTGTCTGGCAGCCTATTTTCCGACAATATTCTCTAACCTTTTACATTATTCTTTAAGGTTTAGCGAGTCCCTAATTCATGCTTGTGGGGTCTCCCCCCCTTTTCTCAGTGCGGACTTATTTTTTTTCCGCTCGGAAAGCGCAAGTGTGCGCGAGTTTTTCTACGGTGCTTTTCTTTCGTCAGTGAGTTGGTTTTTCTTCTATTTTTAAGTTACTAAGGTGAATGGTGAGGAAACCTTGTCCTAACAAAACATAAGCCTCAAACAAAAATAGAATAATAAGCAAAAATAAAAGTAAATAAAAATAACGTTCGGACTTGGTTCCTTACACAGTAACACATTGTTGTATGCCTGGTATTACTTGTGTGAGGAGCATGGTAACCCTAATGCACATTGAACTTATATTATTTACTGGCATGCTGCACTCTCAAATAATAAGTACACAAGGGTTGCATTATACGTGTATAGTGAACTCATGCATTTACAACCATTAAGTCTTTGTTTTTTGTATGTTCGAAATATTTTAAATTTAATCTTAAAAATGTTATTTTCCTAGCACCGTGGTTTTGGAATTGTTCTATAACCTTCGGTAAGGTCAAAAGCATTCATTTAATCAATTATTAAAGTTTTATCACTGGAAGTAAAGGTTGTTTATTGTTATTATTAGTACTGGTGATTAAGTTAGAAGATATCTTTATCTTAAATAAAATTACCTAATTATGGTGAAATCTTGAGACTACACAATTTTAGAATTTATTTTAAAATTTCCATATCAATCTTAATGTTTATTTAGAGAAATTATTACACAAAGAAATTATTAATATCTTAATAAAATTCAATTTAAAAATTTCTGGATCTGTAAATTTGACATTTTCAGTTCTAAAATTATTAATTGGAAACAGTAAATATATCAATTAAATATATTTTGTATTGAGTTGGCCAATTAGTCTATGTTTTGTTTTGTTTCTTTTGATTTTAGATGAAAATAAAAGGCAGTTTTTCCCATAGAAAATAAAAATTTTATTCAATAATGTATTGACCATTTTTATTCAGTATCTTTGCCATGTTTTGGGGATCTTCATAATTTCTTGTTCAAAAAACAGAAGTTTTTTGAACAAGAAATTATGAAGATCCCCAAACAATTGTTTTTTTTTTTTAATTATTTTGAGTCCTGTTTTATGTCATTGTGATCGTAGGGTCAGTGTCTCTTTGACACCGTGTCAGGATGTGACACCACCGAGTCTCTCAAGACCCAGAAATTGCGATTGAAGGTTCTTATGTCATGCAAGCAGTCGCGGGTATGCAGTTGGATTCGGAGTAGAGGTGAGGAGAGAGAAACAAGGAAGTGATTCACTTGGATTTCAGATTAATAAACAATAACAACTTTATTTTAATGAGCAGGAGTACATGATATAAGATCATAGACATCTTGGATTAATATATGGCCTATATTCCTAGAATATCTAATCTAACTGTCACAAGAGAGTTTACAGGATATTTGCGTGTGGATAAACACCTTATGAAGAAATCAAGGGTTGATGAGCGGATGATTCACCATCAGGATTCTTGGGGTGTTTGATGGAATGTTCTTGATATTTAGTGTGTTCAGGTAACAGGAGCAACTTCGGAGGGAGGTATCCGACTTGTGTTGAGGCACTTAGGTGTGTAAGGTATTCGTATGATAAGGTCAGCGGAGGCACAGTATTTTGCATGTTATAACTCTTGAGGAGGCGAACTTTGGAGGACAACTGACTGGATTTGTCATCACTCTCCCTTGTTATTTGGGTTCCTTCTGGGTTTTTCCATGAGGTCAGGAGTCTGTTGTTAAGGGCCTGGCATCCAATACTGGAAATTTATCAAAAGTTCTGGATGACACATTAATGACTAGATGGATCATCCTCAGCAAGGAAACAAGTCCATGGGAACTAATTTTTATGATAGCTCTTAATAAAAAAAATCAAAGTCAAATGATGAAATTGTATCTTGACCAAAGGACAAGATAACATTTTCATCATTTGACTAATGGATGAAAATGTTATCTTGACCTTTATTTTCATCCATTTGTCCATCACATCATCATCAGAAACAAAGCCCTTCTTTTGATGAACTTTAAAGGGAGTGAAACAAGTGGTAATTGGAAGGGGCAAGGCCAGTGAATAGAGATGAGGTATGACATCCCAAACAAGCTCCAACAATTTTTGCTGGGATTGCAATGACACATGTGGCCAGGCATTATCATAGTGGAAGATAATGCTCTTGTGATTCACCATTTCTAAATGCTTCTTCTGAATTGTTGTATTTAATTTGACCAGTTGGGACACAGTATACATCAGAATTGATTGTTTTATTTTCATAAGCAGCTCATAAATAAAAACACTCTTCCAGTCCCACCAAATTGAGAGTATGACTTTGTTTGGATGAAATCCTGCTTTTGAAGCAGTTGCAGCAGTTTGGCACTCTTCCCCCATAATCTTTTGCACCTGATGTTGACACAAACAACCCATTTTTTATCCCCCATTACCATTCACTTCAGGAATGAGTCACTCTCCTCATGTTTTTTGAGTGAATTGCAGATGGAAATGCAAGTGATACTATTAACTTCACTAAGTTTGTGTAACCCAAACATTGAGCTTGCTGACATAATTAAGTTGATGCAGATGATTTTCCATGCTTGATTTCAGTATTTGAAAAATATCTGCAATCTCCCAGATTGTATGGTATGGATTACTATTGACTAATTTTTTTACTTGATCTCAACTGGATGACCTGACATGATGCATCTTGGATGGGAAAATCTTCAGAATAAAATCTTGCAAATCACTTCTGTCACACACATTCTCTTATGGTATTTTTACCGTATATTTCACATTTTTTTGCAGGTTTGTACCAGTACCACATTTTTGCCTTTTTTTTTAAATTAAAAGCATAATTTGTCTATAATGCTCATTTTGCTCACTCATCTTTAGAATACTGACAAACACACAAAATGAAACTAATTGTCAAGCTTTATTTTTGACAAGTGTCAATGAAGTGTCACTTATCACCTTTTTCAAGGTTAAAACTACTAATAATTGCTTTTCAGAGTATCTAACTCTATCTATCAGCAAAAACCACACAAACTTATTGGCTAACCCAAAATATTGAAAGCTTCCAATTTTATATTTTTAGCAAAATATTTTTATTTTCTATTTATTAAATGAACTTAAATTTTTTAAACTTTTCATTTATTTAAATAAATTTATTTATTTTTTCTGTAGGAAATAGTTTTGGTTAATATAATGAATGGAAAAGTGCAACTTCTTACTGAAGGTATGTATCTACCATATTTACTTGAATAATTCACACACCCATTTTTTAAGATACTCATTGTAAAAAAGAAAAAACTTGCCCAATTTAATTTATTACATGTGAAACAAATTTTACTAATTTATGGTAGTAACACAATAGCAATCTTCACTCTTGCAACTTTGTAGCAATTAATATGGCAGTGTTTAGTTTACATGTCCATATGGTATTAAAAGATGGAAATACTGAGGGAAAAAATAAGTTATTTGTATGTGCAATAAAGATACCTTATCTGCAAATCATAGTAATATACTTCATAATGAATTAATACACTAATTAAATGAAAGTAAGACTTTTATATTGTTGAATTTGAATTGAAATTTAAAGTAGAAGGTTAGTTAAATTGAAGCTTAAAGTAAGAGATAATTTAGATAAAAAAATTATTTACTATTGGTTATATATTTAATTTATCTTTATTTTCATGAAATTAACAGCACTGAACTATCAACTATAGATAATGATTTTATTAAGCAAAGTCATCAAGTTGATAAGTGAAATTTATCACTAGCAACATAAGCAAGCTACTTAATAACTGGAAGCATTCTTGGCTTCACCAGTTAAGTCACCAAATTGGTTTTGAATATGCTGCACATCCGAATTTTTTATCAAGTTTTTTTGAGAAAGTGTTTGGATTATATGGATAAATAACATATTTTTTCTTTTCTTTTCTTTAAAAGAAATTAATATACAGACATATTTATTTCTTAATGATGAAAAAATTCATATTTCCAACTTCAGTTTTGTTAACTTTAATATCATTTACAAAATAACATTAACATAATAGAAATGACTTGATTAATATTACTAAAAAAGTAAACATCACATCAGATTTTTAAATTTAAAAAAGTATAATAGTTATATTGTTTTATTTGAGGAATTTTGGTAATTCTGAAGAATTTCAAATATAACAAAACAATTTTTTGCAAAAAAATAGTAATTTTGGAATTTCTGAAAGAATTCCTTTAATTTTAACATTTACTAAAGAATAATATTAGCTTGCAATTCCTGATTTTAAACAAAGTACCTATTGATATACTACTAAAACTCTGAAATTGTTTGTTTGGTTGGTTGGTTATAATTACATTCAGAAAAAAAACAGGACAAGTTACTGCTACATTTGTAAGAATCCTATACCCCAAATGAGAATAGAAACAAAATAAAACCAGTTTTGTTAAAATCAGACAATAGATTACTGAATTATCACTGTGTTTTCTGCCTTCTGTGGCATGTTACATTATAGAAAGTCTGCCATGTTGTTGCTTACTAAAAGTGGTGCCACTCTTTAGCATTACTTTGATTACTGTCTTAATATAATTATGCTTAAATTGTCTGCTGGATGGCTGAACAGGTTACAGCATCAGTTCCCACTTTGTCCCCACGAGACCAAAGTTTGTCTGGGATAATTTGAGTATTTTTTGAAGGAAAATTGATTCATGTGTTGGGCTCCATCTTCACTGTCCAGCCAAATCCATTACAAGTCTTTTTTAACCTGTGATGGGCAGAACATAGACCCTTATAGAGCCTATTCAAGATGTAAAGAGAATAAATAAAAGGAAATTTAAATATCTTTGCTTGAATTGGTAGTAACATAAATGAATTGAAATATTTGATTAAATTAGATCAGAATGAGTGCTGTACTATTAAAACTTTGAGATTGTTTGCTAGTGTTGCCACCTTTTGAAAATCGCTGACCCGGACGGCAGGTCAGGTTTGTTCAAACAGAAGTTCCTGACGCATGCACAATGTCATTTTACAATGCAAAGAATAACGTGCATGGTGGTTTTAAATCAGTTACAATTAGGGACTATGGACTCGCGTAGGAGTAACCTAAATTAAGAAAGAACGGGTACAGATGACTTAGCTCTATTGGATATTGGAGAGATGTATGATCATACATGCAAAAACGAAAAAAAAAAAAAAAAGATTGGCATGTTGGCATAAACAGACTAACTAACATGGCAGAATTGAAAATGAGTTTCAGTGAGTGTAAGTTCTTTCGTTGTTAAAATAGTGTAAATTTGTAAAAATATTTGCAAGAACTTTGTTTCATTGTAATTTTACAATTTCTACGAAATTCCCAGAAAAATTAATAGTTCACCCGGACAGTGAGTCAATTCCCAGACTGTCCGGGTGAAAACTGGACGGGTGGTAACACTATTGTTTGCTTGGAATTAAATATGGAAAAAGTGATGCACAATAATGCTATATGTATAAAAAATCTAGTAACATTGCTGATGATGTCATTCTGTATGGCATCAAAGTTGTCTGATTAGTGTCTTATAACTATACCTAAATCATTTAATGTGTTAATTTCAGTGACATATTGAAATTATCTTGTATTTTCTATAACTTCTGAGTACTATGTGACCCAAGAGGTTATGGATAGAGAAGTATCTAGCTAATTTAATGAATGTATTTCCTTCTTAAATCTTACCTTGATGAGGAAGGAAGAGAACTCATGATTGGTCCAAAGATAATGAAAAGAGAGTGCTATTAACAAGAGTCAGAGAAACTGATGAAGAACAGGCTGAATGTCTCAATTACTAGAGAGATAAGACTAACAACAAAAGAGTTCAAAAATTAGTTGCTGAACAATCTGAATGCCTCCATCAACAAAACATTAGAAATAAAGCAAGAAATTACTTCAATTACATTATCTCTCTGCTTATGTTCATCAAATGATATTAAGATCTGCTTCTTGTTAGCAATCTCATCATAAAAAAGACATACACAGATTGCTGTGTGTGTTTTTTTTATGATGAGACTGCTAACTTTTGCTAAATGAATGGAAAAGTCAGGTTGAGTAATTTGAATCCTTTATCCCAGGAACTTTACAATTTATTTACAGTAGAACCCCTCTAGTCTGCCGTCGGCTAGTCCGTCACTCTGGTTAATCCGATTGTGGTCGGAGTCCAGAAACTTGTCCCGACTCGTCGGTGACTCACTGTCCGTGGCGTTTTTCTGTGTTCGTTACAGTACATGTTTTACATTGTGTGTACATGTACAGTTTTGTGTGTGTTTTCAACATGTCAGGAGTGAAACGTAACCACGTTACTCTTTCATTAAATGAAAAATTAGCAGTGCTACAAAGACTGGACAAAGGGAAAGATTGTTTATTTTACTTTTTTCTGATAATCCGACCTTTTTTGCGTTCTGACCATACCCCCAGTCCCAAAGGTGACGGATTAGAGGGGTTCTACTGTAGCAATATTAAACCTATTGCAAAGGAGTTTGAGAAGATTAACTCTTAAATCCATAATTTTAAACAATAAAATGTTTAACTGTGAATAATATCAAATGGATTGAACTATTTGAAGAAATTATCTCAAAATAAACCTATATTTTACTGAAATATTGAATTTACAGTATTTTCTATTTATAAATTTTAAGTAGTGAGTGATCCAACAGGCCATTGTGGTCTACTATGTTGATATAAGTCAAAATATATCTTATTTTGAAAGACTCATATAACCAAAAATCCAACTCGTGAAACACAATGATGGAGAAAAATGACTGTTTTTAATTGCTTTTAGCAACCATTCTCAAGTTAAAGAACTTATTCAGATTCACAAGCTGGATTTTTGGTTGAGTAAATCTTTTGTATATTATCCAGTATTTAGTGCATTTATTACTTATCATATTTTGAATTCTTTTATTAAAATTTGGTATACAGAACTAAACATTTTAAATTTTTATAAAATTCTATCTTTTCAATTTACTCTCTTTTTTAATAGAAAATAAAACAGAGTTTTATTTTTTGGATAAATATGATTTTTTTTTTAATACAGCTATCCCTTGATAGTCCAACGTTTTGTAATTTGACATGCTCAGTAGTCCGACGCACCTCCCGTCAAGGTACCCGTCTCCATTCACATTGCAACATGCTTGCACAGAAGCATGTCACAATGTGAATCTCCCCACCCAATTTTTACACGATGACACACATTTTGTGTGTTTTTCGTGAGCAGTTCTGTTCAAACAGTTGGAGTAGGGAATATTGTAGGCTATTGCTAGCAAAACAATGCCAAATATGTAATTATTTTCGGTAATCTGGACACTTTTGGTAATCTGACACCCCTTTAGTCCCATACCTGTCGGATTATTAAGGGACAGCTGTATATCAAAATATTTGATAACTATTATTAATATAATAAAGATGATTTGTTCATGAATATTTAATTATTTGTATTTTTATAACTTTACAGTAGTTTTTTGAATTATTTTGAAATGCAATGAATTTTTTTAATTTTAAAACTTCATTATAAAATTTATTTAACAGATGAAAGTATTGGATCATGGAAAGTCTTGGATGTATGGAATGACAAAATTGTATCATATTGTTGTTCTCCAAATAAGCTTCCTCATATTGTGAGTTTTTTTATTTTTTTAAATCTTTAATTTGTAGTAATGTTTTATATAATTTAGTTAAGGGAATTATTTACAGTATATTAAATCTTATTTTTTGATCAACTCTAATGTTTATCAGAAAATAAGTTTATGGTACCATGTAAATCAAAAGAAGGATTTTAATAGAATAAACTGACAATATATAATGAAGTTGATACTGGTATAATATTTTTCAAATACAGTAATCCCTCATATTTCAAATTTAATTTATTCAAGGAGGCTGTTTGAACTCTGAATCATTTAAAGTCTGAATTGATTTTTCCCATTGGAAAGTGAATTAATCTATTCCCAGACCATAAACAATATCCATTTCGATAACATTAAACTAGCAAATACAGTGGTACCTCAGGATATGAACGTCCCAACATATGAAATTTTCAGGATACGACATGAAATTTGAACATATTTTTGCTCTACGATACGAACAAAAACTCACCATATGACGTTACATTTGTTTGCAGCACCATTTTTTATTCACTTCTGTTCATCGGTCTCAGTCCACGTGTTTGCTTCGTCGTGGAAGGATCTCACTCAATAAAGGAAATCTCAAGGTATTATCAGAAAGTGACTGATTTTATTGAAAAGAAACATCCTGAAAAGGTTCACACTGGCCATATTGCTCTCGGAGTAATGACATTTGCCTAAGTCATTTTAGAAACATTTTAAAAAGTAGGCAAAGCCAAACCTGTTTGGATAGATATTTTACCAAGCGACCTCTATCCAGTGAAAGTACTGGTGGAAGTGAAGGAAAGAAAGCAAAAATCCTTGAATAAAAATTTAAAAAAAAATATATATATATATATATATATATACCAGTACAGGCAATTTTCATTTTATTATACAGTATTTATGTATTTTATTTATTGTTTTCATGTTTCAATGTATTATTAAATTATTAAGGCATTTTGTTGTGTTATTTTCACCTTAAATTATGTATAATCATTTTTCCCCCATACGATTACATGTAAAACCAAATAATTCATTCCAACACGACGAAAAACACACTCAAATTAAAGCTAAGTAGTATATTAAAAAAAATAACTATAGTAAGGAAAACACTGAAAAATGCGTTTTGTAGTTATAAATGTATAAATAACAATAATAGAATAATGATTGATAAAAAGATGTAGTTTTGTGACCGCAGGGTTGGCACCTCTTTGGCGCCCTGTCAGGATGATACCACTGTGTCTTAAGGACAGACACAGAAACCAGATTGGCCGTTAATTTTCCTTACACGAACGGTCGCATGTGCGGACTTTTGGTTCCGGGATGGAGGTGGAAGGAGAGAATCAGAGGAATTACACTCTATAGATTTGCTTTATATACATAATACCCATTTATTGTTCTATTTAAGCTATATACAAATCATGTTCAATTTCAGTTAACATAGCTACTTCTTCCCCGATAACCCGTATTATTGAGAGAGAGCTCACATATATTTCGCGCGAGGATAAATACCTTGATATAAGTTGTTGAATAGTTGTTTAGTCCTCGAGTCTCTATGTGGCACAAAGTTCTTTCGAACGTTTATACTTCTTTAAGTAGTGATTCTCCCAAACGGCGGCGATTAGAATAGTTCCGGGTAGCGGCTAATTCATTCACATAAATCCACAGTTCACACCAAACTCCGGAGACTGACTCTTACACATCGACCCCTCCTTTTTATAAAGGGATATTGTTGGGTTTTTCCACTGCCTTATTAGGACTGGTTTCCATCACTGACCAATAGTTGTTTGTTTTTGTCCTCTTTGTAGATTCTGGGTGACACATTCAATGTATCATCTTTAACCAGGAAATAAGTCCATGGGAAACCAATTTAATTATTTTTTTAAATGTCGTTTTTGGTGTTTATTTTTCTAAACTTTTTCTCTCTCAACAAAAAATATTTAAACAATTTATTTCACTAAGTTCGGCTCTCACAGTTTTATTTGCACTTTACCTCTGAGGATAGATGATGGTGGAGGTATAAACTGGTGGCGGAAGAGAAGGAGAAGGAAAATGATACTAAAACTTAACTTACATAACAAAATGTAACAATAACTTAAAAATAACTTAGAAAAGATTAAAAAAATTAGTGTTGTTTTATATATATATCGTCTATCCTCAGAGGTAAAGTGCAAATAAAACTACATCTTTTTATCAATTATTATTCTGTTATTGTTATTTATACATTTACAACTACAAAATGCATTTTTCGGTGTTTTCCTTACTATAGTTATTTTTTTTAATATACTACTTAGCTTTAATTTGAGTGTGTTTTTCGTGTTGGAATGAATTATTTGGTTTTATATGTAATCGTATGGGGAAAAATGATTATACATAATTTAAGGTGAAAATAACACAACAAAATGCCTTAATAATACATTGAAACATGAAAACAATAAATAAAATATATAAATACTGTATAATAAAATAAAAATTGCCTGTACTGGTTGCATTGCACATCATCAACTTTGGCGTCTTAAATATGGCTGCCAGATCTGCCACAGGTGTGTTGCTCTCATGCAAGTTCCTTTTTTATCTTACTCATATATAGTACAACCTTTCCTTTAGACTTTGTTGCTTTCACACGCTTCTCAGATGCCATCATTAATAAGTAATGATTGGGTTGAACTGAGATTTGTGTATTTTTAACAGGTGTCATTAATTAATATAGATGTGTGATTTAATTATAACACTTGTAAAATTTAACATATTATTGCTAATGTGAGATTGGAAGCTTATTTTAAACTTTTTACTTCACATATTGATTGAACAAAATCAAGTTGAAATATATTCAGATAAAAACATATCATGCATATTATGCTTTAAGAGTTTCATAAAGGATATAATGCTGTACAAACAGAAAAAATATTCATAATGTATATGGGGAAGATGCTTCTAAACTTCAAACATGTTAAATGTAATTTAAAAGTTTATTTCATGAAACTTTGAACTAAGGGAAACAAAATGTTTAGTGATGCCCAAAAGCTCTCAACAAAGAAAAATTGCAAGAAGATTTAAACTTAAAACATCAACTAGGACTTATCTATTATTAGGACTTATAAGTCCTAATAATAAATAAGTCCTAGTTGACGTTTTAAGTTTAAATTAATAAATTAAGGACACAATGGCATTTAAATTTGAATTGCAAGAAGAAATTGCTAAAAATTGATGAGTAACACACAATATATATAACCAATATAATCAAAAATAAAGCAAAAAAAGTACTGAAAATATATGAGCATAACATGAGAGTCAGAGACAACTTGGATGCACAACAGAGTGCAGTTCAAACTTTGAAGCATCATTCAAACTCTGAGGTGAATTTTTGTCAAATTTAACATTTGAACTCTTAAACATTCAAAGTTAGTTATTCAAAGTAGAAGGTACCACTGAATAGTCAGTTCTTTTAATTATCAAAACACAAATTGTCAAGGCTGCAAAACCATCAGCCTGCCATTCCAGGAAACCAAAGTTTGTTCAGGTCAAAAACATCAGGAATTTTCTGTGAGTGATTTGTCCCAGATATGTTGGCCTTGTTTCTTACTGCTTGGCTGCTATGGTGAGACTGGTCAAATACATGATGGGCCTGGAAAGAAAGGCTTTCTAAATGTCCAAAAGATAGAAAGAGTGAAGAAACTAAAAGAAGAAAATAGTCAAAAAAGACTTAATACAATGTATGGTTGCTTTTCCCTTCATATATGCATATAACCTTAATTGCATGTTTTGATAACACATCTTTATTAGAGGTGAGACAATATTCTGATAAGTGGTCCTACAATGTAGGGAATAGATGAAAATCAGAAAGTGACAGATATGGAGAGTAAGGGTTGTTTATTTCTCCTAGTTTGTTCTGAATCTGCTGAGCTACATGTGAGGGAAAGTCAGTAGATAGTTATATGATAGTAAAAGATTGGGATTATAATAGTTATTTATTAGGGGTTGACATTGAAACTTTTATAAAGCAAACTTGTTAAATAAATACTCATAACTATATTCTGACTCACCTAAAATGCATTTGGGCTTAAAATATAATGATATAGCCCTTATCAGTAAGCACTTATTGGTTAGATAGAAACCTATTATAAGACAACCATGATGCAATTTACATGTCTAAAAAATTGTATACTATAACATTAACCACTTGCATACATTTGTTCCACCTGGAATGTCACTCGGAAATCCATAAGTAATTGATTTTTTATATTAAATAATTATTTCCAGAGAACTGCATAGTAAATAATTATTTCCACTCAAACACAAATCTGACATCCAAAAAAATTGCCAGGAAATAATTACCGTGAAATAAAAACCCTCAAAAAGTGTTTTTACAAAAAGTATATTAAAAAATATATATAAATAATTTAAAATAAATGCTTTTATTTGAAAAATATAGCTGCACCAATTGTTATTCTTTTATTTAATAAGGCGTGATATTTCACACATTCAGTCTACATTGTTTACAAACTGGTTGACCTTGAGAACAACTGGTGTCAGCTTTCCTGGGTAGTTCTCATGTATGGCACAAGGTAATAGTGGTTTAAAGCAGGAGGGAAGCTAACTTACCACATCTATTCAAATATAACACAAAATTTTTGATTTTTATGCTATTAAAATATGTAGGGACCGAAAAAAGGGTATGGGGAAAAAATTTTACTGAATAAAAAACAAAAAAACCTGCTGATGTCATAGAAAACAAATGATAGTGTTTTAAAAAATTTTACTGTAGTCAAAACAATCAAATAGAAGTTTGGAACGATTTAATTAATTTGATAAAAAAAAACTCCCATAAAAAACAATAGCACAATTAATTACCTAATTAATAAATCATCATAAAATATTTTTGCGGCAAAAATAATACATGAAATTTGCAGAGATTGTAGAAAACAATAAATATATATATATATATATATATGCTGATCCATACATTTTTGGAAAAGTTATAAGTCAAGGCCCTTTTTTATGAGGCCCTTAAGGCCTATGCTCGAGGGATATGGACTGCACAGCATCACGTGCAACCCAAGTTATCTCAGGTTATGGGCTTAAGGGGTTAAATAAATTAGAACAGTCTAAAAGAAAAGAATCATTACTACAAAGATCAAGACATTTTTGTGATCATAGAAACTAACTTTTCAGATTTCTACTTGAATTCAGTTTTCCAAATGATTATTTCATCAATTATGATCCTTCAGTGAACACAATTGAAACCATATAATTATGAATACTAGAACCTCAATATATTTCAGCAGTATTTGAAATTTAAAAAATTTGATGTCTTAAATAATAACTTTTAAATTTACTTTCTGATTTACCTGTATGATGCAATAATAATAATTTTTTTATAAAATTCAGTTTTATAAATATTATATGAACTAATTTTTAAGATTGAGTTAAATTTAATTTTTTTTAAATATATAAGTGATATGTAAGATTAAAAATTTGAAATTTTGTATTTTGTAACATTCTTCTCATAAATTTTCAATAATTTTGTTTGTTTATGATATTTATACGTGTAATCTTTTTTATTTGAAAATTATTTTAGCTTTTAAAGCTTAAAACATTAATAAAATATTATATGAACAGATATTGCAAAATTCATTATACTAAAAAAATTAAGTTAAGTGTTTTTTAATATGTGAATATTTTTATTTAGAGATTTGGTGAATTAAGTATCAATGAAGAGAATATTTCCATATGTTGGCATGTTGTTGATACTGTAGATATTAATATTTCTGACATACACTGGTCTGTGATAACTCTGAATCCTCCAGTTGAAAATAAAGATTATCGTGAGTTTCTTCATAAATTTTAATTTTAAATAATAATGATTTAAAATGAAGATTTTTTTAATGAAATATTTATAAAAAAAAAATGTTTAAAACTAGTTATTCTTAAAATTTAGATTATATAGAATATGTAAAAGATGATTTATACAGACTTGTAAATTTCTAAAAAAATGCTTCAGCTAAATTATTGAAATTTTTTGCCATTTATCTGAAATATAAAAAATTGTTTCTCATGATTTAATTAAACATCTGAAAGAAAATTCTACATACATTATGTGAACATTTTATGACCTAGCATATTGAAACTAAAAATTCTGTAATGTTGAGAATGAATACTGAAGTAAAATAGATGAAAAACTATGATATTAGTTATTACTACACAAAGACTAAATAGGCATTTACAGTAGAGCGTCGNCATTACTACAAAGATCAAGACATTTTTGTGATCATAGAAACTAACTTTTCAGATTTCTACTTGAATTCAGTTTTCCAAATGATTATTTCATCAATTATGATCCTTCAGTGAACACAATTGAAACCATATAATTATGAATACTAGAACCTCAATATATTTCAGCAGTATTTGAAATTTAAAAAATTTGATGTCTTAAATAATAACTTTTAAATTTACTTTCTGATTTACCTGTATGATGCAATAATAATAATTTTTTTATAAAATTCAGTTTTATAAATATTATATGAACAGATATTGCAAAATTCATTATACTAAAAAAATTAAGTTAAGTGTTTTTTAATATGTGAATATTTTTATTTAGAGATTTGGTGAATTAAGTATCAATGAAGAGAATATTTCCATATGTTGGCATGTTGTTGATACTGTAGATATTAATATTTCTGACATACACTGGTCTGTGATAACTCTGAATCCTCCAGTTGAAAATAAAGATTATCGTGAGTTTCTTCATAAATTTTAATTTTAAATAATAATGATTTAAAATGAAGATTTTTTTAATGAAATATTTATAAAAAAAAAATGTTTAAAACTAGTTATTCTTAAAATTTAGATTATATAGAATATGTAAAAGATGATTTATACAGACTTGTAAATTTCTAAAAAAATGCTTCAGCTAAATTATTGAAATTTTTTGCCATTTATCTGAAATATAAAAAATTGTTTCTCATGATTTAATTAAACATCTGAAAGAAAATTCTACATACATTATGTGAACATTTTATGACCTAGCATATTGAAACTAAAAATTCTGTAATGTTGAGAATGAATACTGAAGTAAAATAGATGAAAAACTATGATATTAGTTATTACTACACAAAGACTAAATAGGCATTTACAGTAGAGCGTCGATTATCCAAAAGTCAATTATCCGAAAGAATTTCAGTCGGCAAATTTAAATTTTCGCCAGTGCTGTGGCGCTGCAAACTTTGGCTATGTCTTGGGCTACTCAAATATTTTACATTTTTGATACTAAATTAACATCTGAAGTATAATTTTTTATTGTTTTTATATTTTTCAATATATTTATTTTGTTTGTACAAAATAAAAAAATAATTTTTAATGATACAATAGTCTTCGTTAGGCTTAATATCAATGAAAATTCAACGCAAAGCAACATGCAACAGAGAAAAATTTCAACATAGGATAGGTTAAAATATTTTTTCATACATAATCGGTTATCCAAAGTATCGATTTTACGAACAACCCCAGTCCCCAATTGATTCGGATAATTGATGCTCTACTGTATGTTTAATGATTGTTCTCATGTTTCAACTATAAAAAACATTGAGATGTGTATAGTATTTTTCCATATATTATGCATATGGAAAATATGTATTATAATATTTTGTAAAATGATACAATACATATCTCGTCTGTGATCTGATACTACATATTCAGATACTATATATGAATATTTTGGTAATTATATACAGATTAAGAAATAAGAGTATACTATAAAAATATCAGTAAAAAATGACAATTATTCTAAGCTTCTGTCCAATGAAAAGAGAAGTTATTTCTTCTTCACTTCAAATTGGACAGAAAACCAAACTTTTATTCTATTCACTATGAGCATAAGAACATGAACATATTGTACAAGGAGCAATCAAAATGGAATTTACAGTTAGAAAAGGCGATATAAAATAAGGTTATGTAGGCATTGCTGTGGTAGGAAGCTCAGCATGTCTATTTGCAGTTTGATAATGCTCATGCAAGTTTAGACTTGCACAGCCAATATTGTAGTATCTTTGTTGAGCATAACTGCTTATCATTCGGCTCAATGTCCCAGTTTGAACAGTGTTAAAAACATCAAGTTTGTGTGCAAATTAGGGAAAACTGCTGCAGAGTTGTGCAATGCAGTATGGAAGAAGCAGCCAAACAAGTGGCATGGACAGTGGTTTTTCCATCACGATAACGCACTGAATCACATTGCTTGTGCAGCAATTCCTCACTGACAAAAGCATTCCTGTCATCACCCAGTCATCTTACTCTCCAGATCTTGTTCCCAGTGACTTTTGGGTATTCCCTATACTCAAAAAGGACCTCAAAGGGATGTGTTTCACAAGCAGAGAAGACATCATATCGAATACAATGGCCCAACTCTTGAAGTTTTAAAAGAAGTATTCCACACCTGCTTTCAACAGTAGCAGGATCGATGGAACAAGTGTGTTTGTGCAGGAGGGGCCTACTTTGAAGGTGATTAGGTTTATTTTGTGACACTACAGTGCAGGATCACAATTCTGGGAACTTCTTGAATGTCCCTCATATTTTGATTCATATGAAAATTATTGATAGACTGGATCATAAATAAAGTACAGTAGAGCATCAATTATCCGACTCAATTGGGGACTGGGGTTGGTCGGATAACTAAAAAAACAGATAACCGAAAAATATGAAAAAATACATCATTAGTATAGTATATTAGTATATCGCTATTAACCTACTTCGTGTTGAATTTTCATCGATGTTAAGCCTAACAAAAATTTTTTTAAAATAATAATCGTTGCTATTGTATCGTTAAAAATTAGAAAATCAAGCCTCATTTAAATACTGGCTCCCTTTCATGGTAAAGCCATGTTGCCAGCTAAAACACATAAAAATACTATTAAAGTAGCCAAGATGTAGCCAAATATTGTAGCGCCACATCACTAGTGGACATTTGAATTTGCTGACTAGAACGGTCGGTTAACCGATGTGACGGTTAATCGGGGGTCAGATAATCGATGCCCTACTGTATGTCCAAACAAATTAATAAAATTATTTAACAGAGACTAAAAATGTCTTCACTTTTTGCCATGTCTAATCACCATGAACAACAATCTTTCACTGCAGAGATGACCTTTCTTTAGAGGCTACACCTCTGCAATATGTCCAAACAAAATTTAAACGGAGTTTTAGTTTGTTATGAACCATCCAATGACTTGATACAGATTTTTCAATTTTGACAGAGAAATGCTATTAGGAAATAATTTCTACCAAATCCTTATCTACAGATTTATAGTTATATTCCCAACTAGACACAGAAACCTTTTACTATATTCAATCCATTCAAATGAGCAAATTATACATATGCATTATCATCTTGCATCTTTATACAATATGAATGTTGCTGAGTTTCTGATTCTTACAAATTAAATAATAAGAAACAGAGAATAAATTTTTATTTATTATTATTATTTTTTTGTAAACTGTAGCAAATTAATAAAAACTTCTTGCATAGATAATATGATTTGATGGAACCATTATTGTTTATCTGTTAATTATAATATATATAATAAGTCTTAATAATAGTTAGACATAAAAGTAAATCTATAGAATATTACATAAAAGTTTTTCATTTGTATGTCTTTGGTATTTTTTCTCTGATTTAAGAAATTTTTATTAAATTTATTTATTGCATTAATGATCATCTATACATTGAAGTAAAAAGTATAAAAATGAAAAATTATTAAAACAATAATTTTTGGAAAAATTGGTCTTAAAAAAAGTTACATTTTTCAATCCACAAATTTCATTGAAAAATAAAACTAAATGAGCAATTATTTATTGTGACATTGTCACAAATGCACAATTAAATAACTAAATTAAAAATTGCAATTTTTAATTTAGTTATTTAATTGTCTGAGCAATGCGAAGCCGAACGACAACTAACACATGACTTGATGCATCCCTTGTCAACATTATAACTCTAGAATGAGTTGTTCGATCTTGATGAAATTTTCGAGGATGACTTATCATCACTCAAGGATGAACTGATTAAAATTTCAACTTTCAAAAATGATCAATTTTTGTTGAACTGGAGATAGTGGAGGTCATGTTTTTCTTCAGTATTAGAGGTCAAAATGAGCTAACTAAGACTATGTCCTACATGGCAGCATCCAGCAACCACAGGCAGAAAGAATCTTTATATACGCTTCCAACTCGCAAACGACTTCTGTCCAGAGTGGATGCATGTTGTTTACAAGATGGGGGCGAGAAGACTCAGTCAAATGCTACTATGGAAAATATGACAAGCATTAAAACGGTAAATTCAAAAGCTAAATGTTATCGCTAACTAGATACACAACAAATATAAAGAATTTTTATAGAATAACAAGTTAAAAAACTTTTTATTTTTAAAACGTTACATTCATACAAAATTAGAAATTATTCAATTACATAAAAGATTATTAATTAAAGTATATACAACATATATACACAATTTATTTGTCATTTGTTTTTATTTATCTACAAAATCAGCCATTTTCTACTTTGGAAGCGGCAATCAAACTTGCTTGGCAACTGCTTCCTGCATGCACATATAGAAGTGTCATCTAGTGGTTGCTGCATGCTAAACGCGGTTACTCCAGATGCGCACATTTCCTCGAATCAGTGATTGTGCTCTTCAGTGCCTGGACTTTCAATTGTGATTGTTTTCTATTGCCAACTGCCAAATTTTGGAGTTCTGTCATATTGCAAATGTAAGCCATTTACATTTTTGCTATGCCTCGTATGTCAAAACACAGTGAATGGGTTAGGCATGAGCATCAAAGAGACTCTCAAGAGCCCTCCCCCTCAATGTGAGCAATCCTATTGCAGTACATGTTCAGGGCCTTGGAAATCACATTGACTTCAATTATCTCACAGAATAGTGAAGAAACGATAAACTCGGGTTTACAGTTTGATGCAACTCTGTCAGCTATTACTATTAACTCGTGCTCAAATTGCAACAGAGCTTTTCCAGATACGAAAGTCAACAGATCAGGAAGATGTAATCACTGCGAAAAAGATCCCTTCAAGTTCTCTGCTAGAAATAATATGAATCCTGGAGAAGTACCACCCAGATTGCAGGGTCTAACTTATATTGAACAGATGCTTATTGCTCAAATTCATCCAAGAATTACTATATATAGAATCAGAGGTGCTCAATATTCATACAATGATAATGTGATAAATTTTCACCAGAGTATAGATTCCTTTATTACAGAGCTTTCTGTTGATCCTCAATCTTTAGTAACAACAATAGTTTTTCAGAAAGAAATGCATGCTGACATGGCAGAGCTTCATGCTCATGCTGATAAACTGTGATCCGCTCTTAAGTGCAGAAACATAAAAATAAGTGAGAGAAATCTCAGAGCTATATCCTCCAATGGCGATATTGGTCAACTTTCTTCTCTCTCTTGAGATTGATTCAGAACAAGAGACGTTGACATCAACACTTGAACCCGGTATACTGATCGGATAGTATTCCTCCAAACTTTGAAACTCTCCCTTGTAATTTCAGCCTTTTATTTTTTTTATAGTATTTGCAAGATTGTTGGACAGGCACTTGTTAAGTTTTGCATCAGTTTTTATTTTTGAAAGGTGAGAGTATAATATCAAAGGTAGAGAGTGGGCGGAAGATGTCTGATGTCTGATGTTGCTGGGCAGTATGGCTTGAACAGGTCTACAGTAGGCTGCAGTTCAATCTTATCTAAGAAAGATACTGTATTATCAAGAAGACTCAAGTAGCTTAAGAAGTAACAAAAATCACATCTGAGAAATAAAGAACATTGAAGAGCTCATAATGGAATCTGAAATGGATCTGACAACAGAAGAACGCCAATAAACTCGGCGAGATATGTTTTTTTTTCTGAAAAAGAGAATTAATGTCGATATCTGCTATTAAACAGTTTTTGAAGAAGTGGGACGATGTCAGAACGACGATCTTAGAATGGCATCCAAACCAGGTTGAGGTTAATTAGCTCTACAATTACAATGCTATTAATTACTTCTGAAAAATCTTGAAGAAGAGAGAAAAGCAATTGACATTAGACAGATTCTTTAACCCCACAGATGGAAAAAACATGACTAATAAAAATGCAAGACTGTGCATCTATGTATTTTTATTGTTACATATAAATAAACATAGTAAGAAAGTATATATTTTTTTTATTTTTTGGGGTCTCCAGAACAAATTAATCAAATTCCCGGTAAATCAATAATCGGTTAACAAACAATTCAGATAGTGAACAAAGTCTTGGAACGGATTATGTTCGTTAAGTGATCACCCACTGTACTTCAAGTTCCTCATGGAATTCCATAATAAAAGGTTTGCTAGAGATCCCTGATTTCACTTCTTTGCAATGAATTCAATGATGCGTCACCAGGCACTGCATTCTCCTGGAATTTATATACGCCATGCTAATCTTATTCATTCGAATGTTGAACAAATAAGGGAGCAAATCAGTAATAATCCAAGTTTTCTTCAACAAATCATAGTCCATACATCCAACCTTAGATCAACAAAGCCATATTGGAGCTCTCAATGTTCTGAACTTTTAGCAATGGTTGAACAACTTGGTTGTCCCTCCATTTTTTGGACACTCTCAGCTGCTGATTATCATTGCCCCACCTTTTCAAATCGTTAGCTCCTGATCGTGACCTTTCTTCAATATCAGGGCGTCGAACTCTCATGCACGATAATTCTCTCTTAGTCTCTTGGTTCTTTCAGTGAAGGAGTTTTATTTTCATGGAGCCAATTTTTGGTTTAGATTTGAGTGGCAACATAGAGGTAGTCCTCATTTGCATGGAGTTCTTTGGCTGAGAGATTGTCTCATACCTAACACAGAAAATTTCTCTGAAAATCACGAAAGAACAAATCAAGGCATTTTTTGATAATCTTTGTATTGCCATCAATCCCATATCTCCACATGATAGACCACACATCCATTTCATTGAGAAGACTTTTCAGTAATGTTGCTGAGGATGATAGGCTTCAGGATCTTGGCCATCTGATCAACACATTTCAATTGCACACAGTTTGTGGTAGACAGTGTCTCAGAGAGAAAGGTAGGAATAGACAATTGAAATGTAGGTTTGATTTCCTCAAGCCTCTCCAAGAAACATGTGACATAGCTTCTCCCAATGGTTATCTTCAATTTATTCTGAAGCGGAACAATGCTTGGTGTGCCAGATATACTCCTCTTCTCACTCAGATATGACGAGACAACACTGACTTCACCCCAATTATTAGTCATCAAGCTGTTCTGAATTATGTTGCCAAATGTGCATCCAAATGTGAAACAGCTTCCACATCCTATAAGAATGTATTGAATGACATAGTGACTAGCCAAACTGATGATACCCTAGCAAAGTCTATAGTTCAGAAAATGATGATATCAACATTAGGTGAGTGGAACTATTCAGGTCAGGAAATCATGCATGTTACAATGGGCTGGCCTTTATATCATGCATTGACAGATTTTGTAACTCTCACAGTGAGGGATGATGATTGGAGTAATGTTTCAATCCAGCATGCTTATGAAACTGTTTTGGTTCGGCAGAGTATAGTTGAAAAATATTGGAATCAACCAGAAGATTTTTTACCACAGTTGTCATTGATTAATTTTGCAAAGAGGTGGTATAAAAGAAGTGAAAGGTTCATTTTGTTGTAAAAAAGATGCAGTTGTCAGAATTTTTTTCCACGAATAAAGCTTGATATAGATCCTGACAAACAAGAGCAGTTTTACAAACTCCAATGCATTCTTTACATTTATCCTATGATGAGTTCTGTAGTATTCTTGATAGAATTGGGCGTGAAACATGGTTTGAGGCATATGATAGGAGTGGCATTGGTGTGATAGAACAATCAGAGTTTCCACAGTCAGAGGAAGAAGGCATCCTTCCTGAGCGGATTAATGAAGAGAACATACAGGATCCATTTATGATTGCCACTGGTTTGAGAGGTACTGCTGTTGACACAACCTTAGGCCATAGATTGATGGATTTATCTCATGATTGGAATTCCATGCCCTCTTTTATTTTGACTATGGATGATGTTTCAGAGTTCTTGAAGATATATAAGAATGCTCGAAGAAGGTGTGCAGCAATAGCTGACTGTTCCCAAGTTAACTTTTCATCTGACCAATGTTTAGTTTTAGATAGTGTTGATAAGCAAATAAAGTCTCTAACCCTTCGGTCTATTCATTGTGAGAGGAGATTGGTTATTAAACATAAGGCAGGGTCTGGGAAAAGCACTGTGATAAAGGAAATTGTTCGATTGGTCAGTTTAGCTATAGGACCTGATGCTATAAAGGTTTGTCCCCCCCCCCACTGGAGCAGCAGCAATCAATATTGATGGCTTTACAATCCATTATCTTCTTCGTCTTCCTATCATTAGTACAAAATTTCGTTTTCTAAATGGAGAAGCTGTACAGAGATTCCAAAATGAGATGAAGTCACTCAAATTCATCATTATCGATGAAATGTCAATGATTGGTGCAAGAATGCTTTACATGATCGATAGAAGATTGAGGAAGATAAACCCCAAGAAAGATGAGCCTTTTGGAGGATTCTTTATCTATTTGTTTGGTTATTTTCGTCAGCCTCCTCCTGTTAAAGATAGTCCTCTCTACTCTAGTGTTTTTTATGATGTAATGTCTTAACAAGGTGGATTCACATTTGATTCTTTTCAGAAGTTCATTGAACTTAGTAATTATCATAGACAAAATAGCGCAGATAGATCCTTCACAGATGTCTTAGAACATCTTGCTTCAGGTGATTTCTCTGATACAGATATGAACATTCTGATGACAAGAAATCGAGCCTATTTATCCAGAGATTAACTTGATCAGCTCCAAATGGCAGTAGAGCTATATCGAACAAATGAGCAAGTTAAACAAAGCAACGAAGACTACTTGCAGTCAACTGGATGCCCTGTTGCTTATATATCAGGTCAGTCCATAAGTTCATGCATATTTATGACCTTGAGAAAAATTGTGTTTTGCTGTTAAAATTGTCAGTCTAATGTGATACTTTTTACACTGAAGTGTTAAATTGGATCTCATTCATATAATACTGTTCAGAATTGGAAAAATTTCAGTTATTTATTTTTTTCTTTAAAACGGAAGTAACAGATGAATATAAGAGACATGTTTTATACTTTTTATTTTTAAGTCATGAGAATGCTACAAATGCAGCCAAAAAATTAAATACTGTTCATAATCAAACTGTAGTTAGTGTAAGGACTGTGCAGAAGTGGTTTGAAAGATTTAGAAATAATGATTTTAGTGTGGAGGATAAGGCTCGGACTGGAAGACCCGTTGACTTTGATGATGATGCTCTCTCTGCACTAGTTGAAGCAGAACCATCTTTAACAGTTGATGAAATTGCAGAATGTTTAAATTCATCCCATGGAACTGTTCATAGACATCTACAACAAAT